AGTGAACATTTTTTAGTAGGTATTTATTTTTCATGTATTTTTAAAATTAGTACATAATACCTATTTTTATTTTATCTTATAAAATTCATTTATGGGTACTAAAATAATAAGATTGGGAAGGCGCCTATTATAACTTGGCGCCGAGTGGCACTGCCACCCCTGCCACCCCGCACAGTGGTCCTGAATGAGTCATAGGTCACATAAAAATGACGCCAAAAACTGAATGTGCTATCGGAATAAGGACCCTCTCTAGAGTTTAAAAACATGTTTTTCAAAATTGTAGTTAATTGTACACCGAGAAAAATAATTTAAGACCATCTTTAAGATTCTTAATAACCTTATTTAAGATATCGCAGTAAAATAGGGGACATTAAGACCGTTTAAATACCATTAATAGATTCAAATTAATAACTATACTTTGTGACCATCAATAGGCAAACTTAATACAATTATCATAAGACCATCAAAAGTTTTTATATCAGCCATTAATATATATCTTATAAGGGTTAATATATTATTTTAGGATCATCTTAATATCACTTAAATATCTTCTTATGACATCTTAATATGATCCTAAATTGGTACATATATGGCAAATAAATAATCTTATTATGGTAAATATATTATTTTATGTTCATCTTAATTCCATCCTAATATCCTCTTATGCTATCTTAATATGATCCTAAATATATTTATTTGCCATAATAATATGCTATAGCTATCATATTAAGATGGCCTATTTACGGCAATAGTTTAATTTTATTATAAATGGAGCTGCACCATGGTACAAATAAACGAAAATAAATCTTAAAAGCATTATTTCTACTAAAAGTAAAGTCTTGAAAATAAAATAAAGCCCCAACGCGAAAAAATGCATTAAAAGGTTGGATTTTCATTTTAGTCTTCGAGTACTTGAACATAATTTTGGCATTCATTTTTATTTTATTAAAAAAATAATTAACACCATTATTTTCATCAACCTAAACTAAACCTAAATGTTTATAAAAAAATCAGAAAAACATATCGCAATTAGCATAAATTAATGCTTTCCTTATTTTTTTAGGAAATAAAATAGAGATAAATACCGAAATTATTTTTACTAGACGACCTTATTAGTTCCTTTTCTGCGTTGGGACTTTATTTTCATTTTCAAGACTTTACCCAGGTAGCACACTGACGTTTATATGACGTTGAAATGACTTTGCTAACGTCATTTTAACGTCAGAAGAAGTCATATAAACGTCAGCATACGTCAGTGTGCTACCTGGGTATACTTTTAGTAGAAATATTAATTAATAATACTTTTAAGGATTATTTCCATTTAGTTAACTCCATAATTTTCTGAACATTTTTAGCCAGTCTACCCTAAAAGAAAGATAACAATTGAGCTTTAAAAAAATTAAACTATTTCAGCAGATAGGCCATCTTAAAATTATAACTTTATACATGTATAATTAAATAATAAATTAAGGAATCAAGGCCAATATTCTGACCTATTAAAAATCTTGGTAATTTTTCTCAAGCTGTTTTATTTATAAATATGGTACCTAATAATAATAAATTGTTAACATTTTACCAAAAATATATTTCAGATTTTACCAATATCCTATAAAATAAACTTCAAAGCATACATTTATAAAAGTATCATCAACATAATAAATACAGGATGAATTTTTTAAATGCTTAATGCAGGGACCCCGGAAACCATATAGAAAGAAATTGAACCTACCTTCAAATCCTTTAACAAAATCACTGAGCCCCCATTCAAGCAGAGTAACTTTAAAAGCCATTAATGGTAATTTTTCAGAACATGGTAATTACCATGTTCTGAAAAATTACCGCAAAACAATTGTGAAGAAACGCCCTTTTTCTTCTATAAACGATTTAATATTATCCTCAATTTCCCGTAAACAAGTGAGAAATAATAAATGACGCTACCACAGAGGACGCTGTTCTGTGCTGTGGACGCTAGTTAAACGATTGGTCGATTCGAGTATAGTCGGAAAGCCGAATCTGTTAGTTAGGTAGATGAGTTTGTTAAGGCCATTATACAACTTCTTAAGGTCTTTAGATAATTTAAGGTGGTTCACAATCTTATGTTATGTGTTCACAATTGACTAGTAATGGTTATTAAGACAAGTTTTAATAAGGTCGTCTATTAACCATATTTAGTTATTTATCACTGGCATTAAAATAATTTAAAGAACAGCGACATATTAATCTGAGTTTATGGTGGTATTTAGATATTTTATGATTGTTAAAATATAAATATAGATGATCTATATTTTTTGTTTTGACACTTTATTAAAACGTATCTATTAGTCACCTTAATTCGTCTTCATGTCACAGATAGATAATTTGTACTGGTTATTAGATATATTTTGAACACTATGTAGATAATTTCATTAAGATAATTTAAGATTGGAATTTTCTCAGTGTAAGTTAATTCAAATACCAACTGTAATTTAGTGAATTATTTAAGATTTTTTCGAATATCTTTAAAACTTTGCCCTTAAAGGCGACAAAATTATCTATTAAATAATGCTTCAACAACCGCAACCATTGGCGTAGATATAATTTTTTTTAATTACAAAATGTTTAAAAACTTGATGTTTTTGCACATTAATCGCCGAAACCATATTTCACAAAAAAAAGGAAAGGACAACAGTAAATGGTTTATCTATTAAAAGACTATGTATTTAAGAAGCAGGACCCTTAAATAAATTGAGTACCTACCCAGACTGCAATGAAGGTTCGAAAATATTCCAGGAATATTCCCTATCGCCTAGGAATAATCCGCTTCATTCTAGGAATATTCATTGGGAATATTCCTAGAATGATCCTCTAAAACTTCCAAGCATCATCTAAGAGCATTCCCAGTGAATATTCATTAGTTTAGTTGCAATACCAATGATTAGAGTGGGACTGATCTACTCAGTAACTCAATAACGGCTATACTTAAGTTAAGTTCCTGGGTATAAGAGGCAATAAGGGCTGGGAATAATCCCCAAATTATATCAAGGAATATTCCCCTAACAATCCTTGAGTCTTCTGCAGTCAGATATATGGAATATTCTTTTTATGATGCATCACCCATGGGTTAACCAAAAAGCGGACATTTGATTATGCCAGGAATATTCCTGGGAATATTCTGGGACGCTTGGAATATTCCTGGAAATATTCCTGACATGTGCAGGGATTCCCTGCCAGGGAATGTGATTTTGCGGTCTGGGTAAGTAATGTATGTTCATTTGAGGTATACGCTCACGCATCAGTTACATTAGCTTACATTAAATTGCCAACAAGTAGTAAATACAAAAATCTAGTTGGCCATCACATTTGTCCGGCGTATTTTGGAACGGACTAGTGAAACTTCTGGGAAAAGAACAAGCGTTGAGATGGCCTAAAGCGCTTAATTTGGTCTCTTAGAACTAACATATTTGAGGGAAATGCATGTTAAATGCTTCTGAAACATCCTGATACTCTTCTTACAAAATATTTTCTGAAAACTGTTAGTCCTTTGGTCATTTTACCATACGTGTCCCAATTTAAGACTATGGATAAATTACACTGAAAGGTAAATTTTTAACTTTTGAAATATCACAGCTAAACGCTCGGACACGTAAACATAATTTTTGGAGGTAGAATCCAACTGTATCAGGTCTAAAAAAGTTTTTCCTATTGGAAATCCGATCCTTACAATTCTTGTGCTTTGGGTTTGTACAGATTAATAATCGTTTAAAACGTTGTGTTTCTTACAGAGAGACTTGCAAGCCTTAAAAGAGACCTCGAAGTGGTAAGTACAATCATTTTACTCCTCTTTTGTAAAAAATAAACCTTATTCTATCAGGGCTGCCAAATGTCAATTTTAAGGTTATTTTATAACCGACAAATTAACCTTCAAATTGTCATTTGACAGCCCTTTTTTTTTTACAAAAGAGGAGTAAAATGATTGTTTTTACCACTTTGAGGTCTCTTTTAAGGCTTGCAAGTCTTTCTGTAAGAAACACAACGTTTAAAACGATTATAATAATAAAATTAATAATAAAAGCACAAGAATTGTAAACAACAAAAATGGCCGCCATTGTATGATGTGCAGTGTTGCAGTGATTTTTAGTATTTTTAGTACGAGATCGAACAGACCTTGTTGTGTGGATTGTGGTTTAGGCATAATTATGGAGGCATGATTTAAGAGATAATTAAGTCACCTTTATTTCCTTATTCAAACATTTTTTTCAAAGGCCTTCGTTTTAAAGATAATAGCAAAAACCTAAAATGAATCACCAAATGACGTTTGATATTTGGACCTTCGGTCATCTATGATTTGGATTAATAAGCAAAACTTCAATTTTCTAATGAGGTTTCCAAGTTTTTTTTATAATAATTTGTGAATTATAACTTAACTTATCGTGGTTAAATTTTTAACACACTTTGGTCAAATTACTAATATGAGTCGTTATAGTTAGCCACTAGAATCAGGTTATCGGCCAATCCGACCAATCAGGCCCATTAAATATAACGATAACCACCAATTCTAGTGGGTAACTTTAACGACTCATATTAGTGAGTTAGCCTGACGTAAAATACAACTGTCAATCAAATCAACCCTATTTGCCTTATTTAAATTGTTTCCATCAGCCAATTTTAAATGTGCATTACAGGTACCAACTTTGTAAACCAACCGTTATCAAATCTATTAAACTTCAAAACTACTTTAAGATGTACATTAGTATAGGAATACCCTGTATATAACTACCTATTGGTTAATTTGTCATATGACTCCTACATATGTTTGTTTTAACTATGTCCAATTAAAAAATTAAATTCTTATCTAATGAAATATTATCTAATTTAATACCAATACTTTCTCGTAAAACTAATAGGTACCTTTCGTTCCATTATAAGTCGCCTATAATCAAACATTTTTGGTGAAAATTACATTGAACTTGGGATAGCTTTTCAGAAAGTTTAATTGTCTTTTGATTGAACCCGTCTTCTAGTGCTGATTGGCAAGGTCAAATCGACCGAACCATTGGAGAATGGTTCTGTTATATACCTTAGTGCTTGCTATCCCACCTCTAGTTACAAACATGTCTCGAGTTCTGCACATCGTTGTCTTACTAATTCTTGGCGCTGGTAAGTTTCTATTTTGATTAAGTTTATTTTTAGTTGTAGGTATAATATTTATAACAAACATCGAAAGAAATTTATATTATTTCAATTGAAGAACCTTTAAAATTGATTTTTTTCAATATTCTTCACAATAACTTTTTGTTTAATTAATTTAAGTCTTTTGTGAATACATTTGAATTTTTAATTCAAACGTCAACACAAAGTGAAAGTGTTTAAATATTTATTCTTCATTCAACCTTACAGGTTTGTTGTGACATTTTATATTTTTTCTGAATTTAATCAATTTAATTTTCTTGGAACCATATAAAAAATAAGTGGCTATTTTATTCACGCAACTGTTAACTTAACAGAACTGTTACTGTAACTTTACAAAATTGTTGTACTAACTGTTACAATAAAGGTGTTGTTGCACCAAATTTAAAAAGCTATTACAATTTTAAGGATTATAAAAATAAACACTAAAAAAGACATTAGCATTGCATAATACCAAATTGACCACTTTTGACATCGACCCCTTTTGATTTGGCTGATTTTTTTTATCTTTTTCTACCCTAGCAAAAATATTATTTAAATTTTTCAATTTTTTTTACCTAAACGAAAAAAAGTTTCAAGAAGTTTATTTATTTTTTATATATGTATCTATTAGGTAATTTTTCAAAAATTGAATTATTGGAAAGTTTTTTCAAATTTTTTGTTTTTAAATGTACTTTTTTTGGAAAAAATGAAAATTTTCCGATTTTTTTACATACCTAATAGAAACATTGACATTTTCTGCAAATTGTCTAAAATATTTAGAGTGAGGTTTTTTCGTATTCTATTTTTTTCCAATTGAAAAAAAAAGTTAAATTGTTTCGATGATTACCACATTCAATTTCATTTATTTTTTTAAACTTTGAGGTTCTTTTTACATTCTTAAAAGTGGTCTTATGAGAAATAAGCTGACTAAAAATTTTTCGTTGAAAAAAAATTGAAAACAAAAAAACGCCACTCTAAAAATGTTAGAGAATTTGCAGAAAATGTCAAAGTTTCTTATAAAAAAAATAAAAATGACAATCATCGAGAAATTTTTGTTTCTTTCCAAAAATTCGAAAAAAAACGTTAGATTGGTCTGAATATTTTTTTTACATTTTTCTGAAAATTACATATAAAAACACACATATTGAAAATAAAAACGTTTCGATAAGTCAATTTTTGTTTGTTAAAAAAATTACAAAACTCTGAAAAATGTTTTTAATAGGGTAGAAAAAGATAAAAAAGTTTTAGCCAAATCGAAATAGGTCGGGGTCAAAAGTGATCGATTTGGTATGGAATGCTTCATTTAGTCTGTCTGATATTGTTAAAACAGGGTTTATTTTTCCTTTATTAATATACAGCCATTCCACGTTACTCGGGAATATTTGTTGCGTCCGTTACAATAAAAAATTGTGAGTAAAACTACCGTAATTATGATGCTTATAAGCTTAAGCCTAATTATTACAAGCATAATAAACATGTTTGCAATAGTAACAATTGTAATAGTATTTAATTTAATTACGGTAGCTTTTACTCACAATTTTTGATTGTAACGGACGCTACAAAAGTTCCCGAGTAGAGTGGAATGGCTGTATACTGGAAGTCAAAAAGTTTTTAAATCTCCAAATTTCGCTCATTCACTATTTAAGGGGTCTAACATCAAACCCAATAAAGTCAATTTGAGTAAAATTTTCAGAAATTAAATAATACTCCCTTAAAAAAGAGGTGCATGCAGCTAGTAAAATGAGCAATAGTATAAGGTATGATAATTTAACTCAATGATTTCAACGAAATTTTGTATAAATCTAATGGAATTTGCTAATAAAGGATATTATACTTTGTTGTGTTTGATATTAGACCCCTGATTGGCCTTTTTATATTGATTACATTTTTTGAAATATTTTGTTTATTATTTTAGCTGCCATTTCGGCTGCCAAAAACAATAGGAAACCCCCAACTCGTCAAGCTGCCGATGATGACGAAAACCTGTCTTCTGACTGTCCAGAACCAACCGGGTACTTCGCTGATTCCGAACAATGCGACAAGTACTACCACTGCGAGGAAGGACATCTGACTGAAAAATTGTGCCCAGATGGTATGGTTTTCAACGATTTCAGCACTGAATACGAAAAATGCGATCTTCCATTCAACATTGACTGCAGCCAAAGATCCAAACTACGTAAGTAGCATGTTGTAATTAATAAACAAAATTTACCATACTTTGTTTACACAGAGGAGCCACAACCTACTCAGCATTGTCCAAGGAAACACGGTTACTTCGCTCATGAAGATACAAATATCTGTGATAAATTCTACTACTGTGTCGATGGTCAATTCAACATGATCACCTGCCCCAATGGTCTTGTCTATAACGATAAAGTGGGAATTTGCTCTTGGCCCGATGAGGCTAAAAAAACTGGATGCTCTTCCTCAGGTAAATTTAATTTAAGCTTATAGGAAGGAAGTAATTTATTCAGTACTTATAATTTAATTTGTTTGCATGAGTATAAGGTCAACCAGAATGTGGCCAAGACACTCCCTGCAAAAAAAGCATCCAACGCATTTATGTTTGTATTTGATTTGTTGGTGTTAAAATAAATTTTGGATATCGCTATTTCCAAAATCTAAAAGACATATTTTACAGAGGTCTTCAAATTCGACTGCCCCAAGGTAAATGAATCCTTTGCCATGACCCACCCCCGTTTCGCTGACCCCGACGATTGTCAATTCTTCTACGTATGTGTCAATGGGGATACCCCAAGACGTAGCGGTTGCAGATTGGGACAAGTTTTCGACGATGAAAGCAAAAAATGCGAGTGGGCTCGTCAAGTACCTGAATGGTGAGAGCAATTAATTATTTAGAAAATTATATTTGGTTTAACTATTTTTTTATAGCGCTGATTGGTACAAGGGCCGTTTGACCGATGAGGAGTTAATGAAATTGGAATTCCCCCCAACTCCAAGGCCAAAGGGTACCAAAGTAAGCAAGAGGAAGCAAAGACCAAGACCTCAACCTGTTGAAGACGATGAATAGTTCATTCGTTACGCTAGTACATTAAAAGACTTAATTATTTGTTAATAATTTAAAATAAATATTTATAAATATTAAATAACATGTTTAAATGATTTATTTGTAACCCAACGTATCAAATACTATATTTATATAATAATAGTTTTAGTCTTTATTGTTTTAAATAAATCCTATTGGACGGGAATGCAGGTTGCAATTTTCAAATAATATTTTTTAAACTATAATATTGTTAAATTTTAAATTTCTTATTTGACACTGTTAAATCAGAAAATGTTAAAAACAAGGCAATAAACTTAAGTTTTGTTTCCATTTATAAATGATAAGGTTCTATATGGCAAGCCGTTTTGCCATTTAACAACACAATTTTTATTCAACATCATGGAAAATAATATAATGAAAATTGTTGCAAAAAATAACTACATATTGGAAAGGTGTTGATGTTGAATTTTAATTCAATAAATTATTTTTAATACGTCTATAAATATTATAATTTTTATTTGAATCTTATGTTAACTTGCAATGTTTTTCCTATGGTAATATTAATTCAAGTATTTAAAACGATCTAGAAAATAACTTTATTGCTGGAATTAAAATTATGTTTAATATAATTTTAATTTCTAGAATTAAAATTATATTCTAGTATAATTTTAATTCGTGATTTAAAATTATGTAGAGTATAATTTTATATGGGCGTAATAAAATTAAGTGTACATAATTTTTATTCAATTAAAATTATGCACACATAATTTTAATTTCAGAATTAAAATTATACACACATCATTTTTATTCCTGAATTAAAATTATACACACATCATTTTAATTTACATAATTAAAATTATACTATGCATCATTTTAATTCAATTAAAATTATACCATTCATCATTTTAATTGAATTAAAATTATACTGTACATAATTTTAATTGAATTAAAATTATCTACATAATGTTAATTTGGCAACGCCGCAATCGCTAACGCTAGAATGTTCCTTTTTTTGGTAACTTTTCGTTTGGCTAGTTGGTAATGTGGCACTTAAATCACAGAATAGTTCTGTGCTTAAATTACTTTTTCAATGTAAAGTTAAACTTCTAAATTAGAATTAGAAGTTCTAATTAACAAACCTTCAAGTTAATTGTAAGTTAAAACAACGAACGTTTCTCAATATAAATTTTAACGGTAGTAAACTAAACATCGGTTAGCTATATATTTTGTCAGGTTGGCAATAAAAAAACGTGAATTTGAACTACTGTATTGTGTTTAACCTCCAAAACATAGATAATAAATCAAAATCTGAAGTTTCGCTGTATTTTTAATAAAAAAAATAATAACAAAAATGTATTCTACATTTGTAGAATAATAAAATACCTATAAGTGCTGTTCTTGACACACCACCCAAATCACCAGCAACATTTAAAAAACTTCCAGTGGCATAAAATCTTAAGGCAATTAAAACTGTGTGGGACTCAAACAATCATTTCTAAAAAATATGATTCCCATATTAGGTACACTTATTTATATACCTTTCAGAAGGATTGTGTCTTCAATTTCTGTTTTGGACAACCCTGCTTAAAATACCCCATAGAGACCCTGTTCAAACCGATAGATATTTGTATCGGAATGCATGGTGTTTCTATAGGGTGTATCGGTATGTTACATACCGTATGTATAGGACCCATAGTTGGGATTTATGGTTGTTCTATAGGGATATCCACCCTTGATTTATTTTCTATTGGTTTCGATGGGGAAAATACACATAAATGTAGAAATTAGTTTTTCCCCCATAGGGCCCCATAGGTTTTAATAAAATTTTGTTAAATGTTTTATGGTTGCTCTATAGGGATATCCCCATATATCTTTCATTGAGTTATTTGCTATCGGTCTCAATAGGGAAAATGTAAAAGTTATGGTGTGCCTATGGGTAATTTCCTATACATTTTCTATCGGGCTGAAACCGGAAAAAAAAACATGGAAAAATGCACATATTGAATCCGGTAGTGCCCGATAGATTATTTTGTATGTCTTTATGGGGTATTTTAAGCAGGGAACTCCTTTCGACAAACGAAATCTCCGAAAGAAGTCAATTTATTCGTATTCTTCATAAAAGTTTGGACGCACTCTTATAATTTTAGAACGCCTTACGGGACCTTCTTCATCATCGCTAAACGCGTTTATAAGATCTAAATTAAGGGGATCAAAATTCATTTTCACCAGATAAATTCTAAACAATACAGCTGTTTATAAATATATTAAGATTTTGAGGTTATGAATTGGAGTTTACCTCTGCTCTTAGTAGCGATTAACCGACAATAAACATGTGATAATCTTTTAACTGATAATTGAAAAACATTTATTTTACATAAACTAAAGGTTAACTCAAGGTTGCAGATAATCTTAAGTTTATTTGATATTGAAGAATTGGCCCTAAATTGTTTAATTGTAATCCCACCAACAGACTGTTGGCAACAGTGTTCCCACCAAATACCGCCTGACATATTACCACACTAGCCAAACGAAAAGTTACCAAAAAAGGAACATTCTAACGTTAGCTTTCGAGATTGCGGCGTTGCCGAATTAACATTATGTACATAATTTTAATTCAATTAAAATTATGTAAAGTATAATTTTAATTCAATTAAAATGATGTGTAGCATAATTTTAATTCATTTAAAATGATGGATAGTATCATTTTAATTTTGTGAATTAAAATTATGTGTGTATAATTTTAATTCTGGAATTAAAATTATATGTGCATGGTTTTAATTTACATAATTAAAATTATACTATATATCATATTAATTGAATTAATATTATGTACACATCATTTTAGTACGCTCATTTAAAATTATACTCTACATAATTTTAAATCACGAATTAAAATTATACTCGACATCATTTTAATTCCAGAAATTAAAATGATGTTATACACCATTTTAATTCAAGCAATAAAAATTATATTCTACATCGTTTTAAATAATTAAATTAACATTATTATATAAAAAACATTGCAACTTAAAATAAGTTTCAAATAAAAATTAAAATATTTGTGCACCTATTAAAAAATAATTCATTGAATTGTAATTCAATATCAACACCTTTGCAATATGGAGTTATTTCTTGTAACATTTCATTTCCATACAGTTACAATAATTTTTGACGATGAATTCAACATGTGCAAGGCATGTATTGTTTCAGAAAAATTGATGTAATTGTAATAAGGTATCATAAAAATTTAACCGAATTAAACCAAAGATTTGGACAAATTAAAAATAAATTAAAATTAATTTCACAAAGTTGGCAAGCCCTTTTACTATTTAATGTATTTTTAATTAAATTTATGTACAACTAAATTTTAAATAATCCATTATTTATCAAACATAATGGAAATTTTAACCATTTTAAATACGGTGAATTTTATATCCCTAGCCCAAAAATTGTACATTAAATAGTAAAACGGCTTGCCATAGTTCTATATGTTCTTTCAACTAAACTTTTAATGTAAATTAATAATCACAACTTAATAATTTTTCTGAAAATTTCAGTCTTTTCATTAACACCTAAATATTGTTTTATCCTTTTTACAGTTTTTTACATGGATGATAATATAAATACAAATATTTGAGACAAATAGAAATTCACTTACGAGAAATTACATAGTTAAAACATTTGTATGAAAACAGTTTAAAAAATGAAGCTGAGGTCGACAAAAATCAAAATTTTAATTCCTCAACTTTGTTATTATTAACAACATGTAACTTTTTATTTGGAAAATATTAATAAAAAATCGTTATCTAGCTCTTATTTAGCCACCGCGCTTGATTTTATCTTCAGTTATTGAAATATGATGTTCCGAAATATTGTTAACAACATGTAACTTTTTATTTGGAAAACATCAATAAAAAATCGTTATCTAGCTCTTATTTAGCCACCGCGCTTGATTTTATCTTCAGTTATTGAAATATGATGTTCCGAAATAGTATATTATGTTTCAAGTTTGATAAACGCCATTTTAGTCACGAATTTAATTTAGGCACGAACAAGCTTGCAAACGAGTTTATAAAAGAGTTGCATACTATACTTTTTCTACGACAAAAAGGTAGGTACCTGATTTTATCTAAAAACTTATATAAATTAAATATTTGTGTAAAGCGACATCTACACTGTTCAAAATTTCATGACCATTTTAACACCAAATTAACACCATACATGGTCTATATCGATACAAACCAAAATGGTGTTAAATATGGTCCGTTGGCCGGTGTAAATTGAACTCCTTTTCAGTGTTAAATATTATGTGAAAAGAAAAAAAAGGAAACAGGAAGTTCCTTGACGCCTTACTAGTATATTGCCAGTGGTATTATTCCAGAAAATGGAACCTTCAACTCGCTAGAGATAATGTTTTTAGTGCGTTCCACTAACTTAAAATACTTCAAGTATTGACAGCTGTTTCCACCTATTTAAGGTCTCTTTAGTATCGAAAAACTTGTAGTGTCACACCAAAGCAAAGGACCACCTAAGTTTATATATTCTTCATGTAAGTCAACAGAGGCGAGATTTAAGAACATCACGTGATCCACACCGCCTTTGCCGCGATCGGTACACATTTTCAACCATAATTCATGGTGTTATATTAACACCACTTGGTGTTGGATTTTGACACCATTTTAAGATTACTTTTTACACCACAGATATTTTAAACAGTGTATAAGAAAATAAAGTAACCATCCCAATAAACATTTTCACCATTTACATTGCCTGTTATTATTAATTAATTAAATATTAGTGTAAAGCGACATCTATAAGAAAATAAAGTAACCATCCCAATAAACATTTTTACCATTAACATTGCCTGTTATTATTTCAATTAAATTTAACAATTATTGATACTTTAAAATATTAAAATATGTTATCCTTTTTTATTTATAAATATAATTGCAAAATATTATCACAAAGTTTAAACATTCTTACACGGAAAATGTTAAAGATACAAAAAGTGATTTATTGAAATTCCCGTAAGAATTTCTAACTTGGGAATTTACCGGCAAATTTTTATGTACAAATCAATATTTATTCCTTGAAAATAG